ATAAATAAAGGAATTATCTTATTTGTTGTCTGTGTAACATCTGTCAACACTTATCAGTCACCTCTTCACGTTTTTGCACATATATATATAACATTTCTTACACAGACGGGATTAATATTAGTCCTCCTTTTTATACTTTATTCCTATTTTCATCACATCTTGTACCTATCTGCTTTATTTTCTAGTTTAATGTGTATTTTCTGTTGTGCTGCAGCTGCTGTAGCGAGTGAATTCCCCCAGTGTGGGATCAATAAATGCTATCTTATCTTAAATTAGAATATATTTTTAGTTTGGTATTCATTGTTCCTCTTTTGCTCTGGTGTTTCAGGTCATCACTGCACACGGTATCTGCCACCTGCTGGGCTACAGACACGAGACGGAGGAAGAATGGACTGAGGTTTGTTTGGAGGTGTTGAAATAATCAAAAGCACATTACAAAGTGACTTTTTCTCACTTTACTCCTACTGCTCCGTCGCCACGTGGATAGTTTTGGTTTTATTAGTGACGTTTTATCGCTCACCACTGACACTTTTCATTGTTTAAAGTAATCCACAACATATCTTTCCAGAACACTCTGCCCATTACTCTTGATCATCCAAAGAAAACTGTCTTTGGACTTTTAATTCGGTGTTACAGTAATTAGTTATAGTGGAAATTCAGTCTGTGGGTCATCCAGAGTAATGGGAACAGTTTTGAGAAGTTGTGGTTGAGTTGTTCAAATATCATTGATCCAAAAAAGACTAGACATCGGCGTAGATATTCAAGATGTTCCTTTAAAAATCTGCGTTATTTGTGTCCACTTCTAAAATGCTGTTAAACCAGAAACATTGCAGCACGATTAAATGACAAACTCTGCTCACATAATTGTTTTCAGACATCTGATGTGTCATTTCAACGCAGTTTGGGTTCTACTGAAACGCTTGCACCTTAATAATTTGTGGGCCACAAACGAATTGACACCTAAACGTGCCGTGTTGCCCCCCTGTACACACCATAGCAGGTAATCTCTTTTTAAAACACGTTGGTTTGTTTTTGTTTGCAGATGCTGCAGAGGGAAAGCTACATTCTGAGCGAGTACAACAGACTCACGGGAAGACATCTAGAGCCACTGACAAAGAGATGCACTCAGGATAGGTGACACTGACTGTCGCCTGTTAACTCTGCTGTTGCACTATGGTGCTTTTTGGTGCTTGATATTTTTGTTCTGTTGAATAAACTTTTATTCATTCCCTCATTCATACACGAATGTAAGTCCCCCCCCCTGGATGCTGTCTTCTCCACAGTCACAATGTGCAGCTACTGTTTTTAAGGCCTTTTATCACCTGGCAGTAGACGTGTAGCAGTTTGTGGATGTCATTATTAAAACACTGGATGTGAATGAAAGAAAGTTTAAAACATCAAATAAAAAAAAAAAGGTCTGTGCACTTTCACTGTAATATTTTATTAAAATCTGCTTTAGGAAGAGTCACTTGTGTATGAAGGGTAGAAAAAGCTGTTCATTTTTTTACTTCACAAATACATTATACCCTCTTTACACTGCGTCTGGGACAGGGTGTTCAGGAAAGCGCAATGTTACACAAATGTAAATCCAAGGTGGACATAAAAAAAGGAGAACCAAATTCAGAGTAACCTTGTCTGCTGTCAATCAGGTATGCATTCACGTTACAACAGAATACTGCACCTTCAGGAGTCAGCTAATAATAATGCACACTTTCTTTAAAACTGAAAACAAAGTGTCATATTCAGTCCATACTCTTATTTTTTATATCAGCCACATTTTATAATGCTTTATACTGTATTTTCTTCTGTGCTGTGGGGAGTAATAATAGTTTGGTGGTCTGAATACACCCAGCAGACACCAATGTTTCCATATTTCACATTAGCTATTGTGTACTGAAGTGTGATTTCATTTTTACAGTGGTAACAAAAGAGCTGTACAACCAGTGTGGAACCAGTACAGGAATAATAAAATACTTTTGCTCCGTTCTATAAGCAAGCACGCCTGATAGGAAGGAGTTGAACAGGGTTAGCAGAGGTCTACGGTGTTAAGTACTGTATACTGGCCTTAAAGATGGTGAAATAAAAGACGTTACGCTATAGCTAGCCTTCCTGGCGATCTATTAATGACTTCTATTCGCCGTGGCGCATCTTCATGGGTTCATTACGATAAATCAACCCTATGCTGCAATAAATAGAAAATCTTGGCTTTTTATAAAGGAAAATCTGACTTACACATTGTTGACAAACAAATTCAAAAACAACAAGGTTGTGCAACATTCAAAGTAAAGCTTGTATACATATTTATAAAAGTTTTCTTGGGAGGCACAAGGTCAAAACCCCAAAAAGAATAAAGAGGGCTTTACTGAGAAAAGTTCAGTAAAAACAGGCTTTGTTATTGTTGAGCTTAAGGATTTTTCTTCCCAAATCTATAATATGGAGACAACCACACACACAAATTAGTTCATAAGTCAAGCACAAAAAGCAACTGGGCAAACATCCACACACACACTGTGATAGAAAGCTGATTTGAATTGGCCAGTTTGTGCCAGAACATAAATATTGCACCAAATGTACCCGCTAAATACAACAACCCTCTAACTCTATAATAGCTTATACTCCAACATAGAATATATCTTTATTTAGTTTAGGAAATAAAGGGTCTGCAAAACATACAATCCATGAAGCACCGGTAGCACTCCGGTGTTTGATAGTTGCGTTTAAGTGAAAGTCTGATTGAACGGCATTAAAGTTTAAAGAGGTGTATCAAGAAAACAAACAAAGAAAAAACCTTTACAAAACAGCTGTTTGATAAAATCATAGCAAAGAAAAACTCCAGCCCCAAAAACATGGAGGCAAAATTTGATCCACTGAACATTTTTAACTGCATTTCTGGTATCTTAAAGAGTCTAGAAAGTTTAGCACCTGTGTTGGCATTTACAGGTGCTAATTTAGCAGGCCATTTAGTAACTTGGAGAGGAAAAGAAGTGCCTGAAGACGACCAAAAAAGGACGGCAATCAGTAGTACTCAAGGCTGTTCAGAGGAGAACTCCATCTACCAGGGTTTGTCTATAGATGTGTGTGTATGTGTGTAGGTGGATGTCCAAAATGAAGCGCTCAGAGGGGTTGCAGGACGTTCCTTCCTGCCTCTGAAGTGCTGCTGGCTCCAGATCTCTCCATTTCAGACAGCTGCTCAAACACATCCCTGAGGACACACAAGACAAAACAAAGTGCGTGTTAAAACCACCTCCGACACAAACACACACACACACAAACATGATCCGCTACGCAGTGTCTGCTGGGGTGTAAAACCTGTGACTCACTGACATTACAAAGGAAACATTGCACTGCATGTGTGTTCACCCCTTTCAAGTGGTCATAAATGGCTTCATCCAGGTTAAAGATTATAAGCAAACACAATTTTGACACAATGACAGGAAAACAAACACAGCCTTGGTGCCATTATATACACAACAAAACACCCTATCAGTACACCGTGCTTTACTCAAACTGTTTTAGCCATCGTGCCTTCAACAGGCTGGTACCTGGTTTCCTTATATTCAACTAAATTCTGTGTTCTTTCAACCTAATTATTCAGATTACTTTCAAAAGTATGTTTAACGGTGTCAAAGGTGTATTTAAATCGCCTCCATTATTCAACATTTTACTTCTAATGTTAAGGTCTATCTACATTTGTGGTAAACCGCCTTAGAAACCACGCTGATGTTAATAGAAGTGTGTTGAAGCCGCCTGTTCTGCCAGCTCACTTGTGCATGTAGAAGAAGATGTATCCACTGCGGTCACGGTCTCGCTGGACGGCCGCTTCCTGTGTGCGCGACACGTCCAGGTCATTGTAGGTGAGCCACGACTGCTTCTTCATGTCGTACACGTCACTGATGTAATGGCCTTAGGGTGGGAAATAAATCACGTTTATTTGTGGACCCTCAAAGCCATGTGGATGTGTTGTTGGGTTCAAAAGGAGCAGCTCTTTTAGAGTTAGTACACATAACACAGTGCTCATTAACACAAAGCACAGTCATTAACAATATATAATAAAAGGTAGAACTTTACATTACAGAAGGAAATCAGGAATTTCCACCATTGTATGCCTATTGTAGGTAGGATGTTCTTCCTGCTCAAAACTTAAGCAGGTGATTTCACCAGACATGCTAAATGTTGTGCAGCAGTAAGAGGGGAAAGCAGCTTAAATGGCGTGCAGGCAGCAGGTATGATGTTGAATCAGCTCATCAAACAACTTGTAGTGTCAACTGTGATAATGCTTCTTACTGAGGACAGTACTCAGTGTAAATATCTGCTCAGGCAATATATGACATAACGTGAATTCTTTAACACACAGTAACTTAAAACCTGTCAAACAACTTCTATACAATAGTTTACATAACTGGTGATATAAGACTTATCTGCACTGTGGACAGCGACACACACACACACACACACACACACACACACTCACCAGAGGAGGAGCTGCTCCCAATGTGACTGACGACACTGATGAGTCGAAAAGAGTTAGCCAAGTCTCCGCTCTGTGGATTACAACGTTTATAAGGAAATGCATCAGTGTGTTTCAGTGGATCCAGTGTGAACTGTATATCATTAGTACAGAAAGGTTTAGTAGGAATAATAACTTCTTTTATACAGGAACGATTTACTAGTTGCTTTTCAGTTTATTGTCCAAATACATAAAAAACTAAATCACATGGCAGACGGTGTGTGGCAGCAGGATGTCCAGTACCTCAGCGTTCCTCTTTAGGTTCTCAGCCTCTGCTTCAGTGTACTCCATGTCCAGCACGTCCTCGTTGCCAGAATCATCATCCGAGCACAGCAGATCAGGCAGAGAGTTGTTGAACTCTGTTGGGTGAGGAGGAGACACTAATACTGGTCAGGCATGGAGTCTTTTGCTTGTGTAAAAAGGAAAATACAAAGCCATAAAGGGTAAAAATTGCACTGAATTTACAAAATCAGACAAAAGTCAGAGATTGCTGCCGGCCTCCAATACCACTTTAACACACTCCAACAGTCACCAGCTGAACAACAGTGTCCAGGGAACTAAAAACTACTGGCCAAAGAAGCTCTGCATGTGATCATCAAAGCTCGAGTTTCACCAGTCAATCAATCGGGCTTCATACCTTGCAAACTGAGCTCAGTGGCCCTCTTCAGATCATCATCCTCTCTCATCTCTTGGGCCTCCTATTTGGGGTGAAGTGGAAACAAGGTATTACTTTGAGAGTTAGTCTAAGATATTTTCACTCGGGGAATGTCTGCTGGGTGTTTAACGTCTGCTTGCTCATGAAGTACAAACTTCAGTGGGATCAATACTATTTTGAAGCACGACACCAGTTGAGACTGGATGGTCATAATTACTCATTAAGGACGGACACACTAGTCACGTCAATTACTACTTTCAGTCTGCAGATTTGAGGGGTAATTGTTCCACTCTTTAAAAAAGCCCTACAGATGTCACATGGCCTTTATCTTACATGTTCCTGTAGGCTTTGGGCCAGAGCCTGCTGTAGTTCCTGCTCTTCCCTCTCCTGATCCAGACTGTACTGCTGGACCCAGTCCAGTTCCCCCTGCTGCTGCACGCCCTCTGGAGTCTGGTTCTCCTTGTTCTCATCCATGGTCAAGTCCAGGGAATCCAACACATCTACACAGGATCAACACACCAGTTACCTTAATACTTAGATACGAGTGAAGTTAATTTAAATCACCCAGATACTTGAGAAAAGTAAAAACTGACTGCCCACAGTAGAAACCCCATCTTGTGAATGTCTTAACTGCATAATGTTGGACTACCTGCAGGCTGTTTGGTTTCTGTTTCCAGCAGATCTGTATGATAGGCCAGGTCATGGGCATCCGTGTCCCCAAAGCCTGTGTCAGGACTGCTGGTTGGCTCGTCCTCCACAGGGGGTGGAGCCGAGAGCCCGGCCTCCTGCCGACTCATCTCCAGCACGGCGTCCAGCATTTCATCATCGTTTATGCCACTGAAGTCTGCGGAATCTATTGTTGCTCTCCGCTGAAAACATTTACACAGTGTCAGAACAGCAACTGAAAAAAAGAGGAATTGATCATAATTATCAGCGTGTCAGCAAATCCTCACCTCTTCCGGTCTGTCGTCGTCGTCAGGCAGACAGCTGCTGAGGCGTCGCTTGCGGCTCGCGCTCACCTTTCGGCTAGGCTGCTCTTCTTCACAGTCAGAGTCCAAGAGGATAGAGGTGCAGCTAGAATTGGCCACTTTCCCTCCAAACCTTCTACACACAGACATAAGCTGATGACACATTTTATCAAGGAGGCTGAACACAGTTTGTTGTGGCCCATGTAAATCTAACACTTGCTTCTTTTTCTCTGTGTAACATCATTATTTAGAAGCACTTACCGGAGAGGTGCTGTGGAGGAATTGACCAACTGTGACGTTTTGAGTGTTCTGGACCTTTGAGAACAACAAAAACAATGTTTAGAAGCCGAATTATTTGCTGCTGATTAATTAACCATTGGGCCAAAATGTATTAGTAGTAATTCCAGGTCAACTACAAACGTTTTACTTCGTTGTTGCTCAATAGTTCAGGATGTAATTACCCACAGTGACAAACGGG